GTAATATAGGTTGGCAACAGCTACCACAAAGTCACTGAGAATGAGCAATTGTTTGCCCAAACAATGTCTGCTCCTCTTTCCAAGGCCACAAGATAAGCATACTCTGAAAAGAGCTAACATACTGCTAAAAATCTAAGTGTTCTGCACTGCCACACTCCTACACATCTCGGATAGAGGAGATACAAGGGTGATCAACAGCAGCTGTTGCCAACATCTGAAGACAGATGGGAGATGCCATACTCGCACCATCCTTCAGCACCCTCCTCCCTGTGTCCAACTTGTGAGTATCCCAGAGAAGGCAAAAGTGGGACTCATAGCACTGCACAGTTGTATTAGAGACAGGAGATGGAAACTGCTGCTGCTGCATGCTATTAATGTCTGCTGCTCCCCAGCTGCACAGGCAAGTTCTCTCTTGAGAAGACCCGCAGAGTGTCTTCCTCCTCGTTAACAGGATGCAGCGAGGCAAAGGCCTATCAGGCACTGCTCTGTGATTAACAAATCCAACTAGTAGAAACAGGTTTCGGTAGGATGTTCATTTACACTGGTTCTAAAAGCAGAGACAAGATTTCTGACTCATTCTCACCAGCTGCCCCACCTGGGGAGGGCTCACATGACAAGGTTTTATATTTCTTCATTTTAAAGACATTAAGAAAGCTATCGGTATACTTAGGTAAGCAACCAGACAGGGCACAAGTGATTGCTCTGTATTAGTAATCAAACACCTTCACTTTGTGGCCGGGAGGCATGAGGTCACAGGAAGAATATTTCCAACACCCCGGATATGTTACAACAGGGTACACCCTGCAATAGGGTGTTACTTTCTAGTGTCTTAATAGAAGTATTTTCTTTACTAGTTGCTTCACATGAACATACCGACAACAGCACTGATGCAAGAGCTGTCTCCTTCCAAACCCTGGACAAAGCTGATTAGAAAAAAAAAGGTAGAGAGGGTGTCAATTTTATTTAGACAATACTAACAAGCAACAATACTAATAACAATTATTTAGCAGGAACAGCTTTGCTCTCAGGAGGGAAAAAGCCTCTAACAGACACCACAAGAGTGAAAATAAACCACGAGTCGCAAAACAGAGATAAAGTGCTACAAGCAATAGCAAGATCCTGTTGCGAAGTGATTAAAAACTGGAGCAAATATCTGGGGCAAAGTAACCCTGATGCTGCCAACTCATCCCAAAGCATTTTTTCATTCACTGCATGTGTTCACAAACAATAGTATGGCCTTTGGAAGAAAGAACTGTGCTGCACAGGCAACAGTGAGAGCATACTGGTGGCTTGTTGCACAGCCCTCTGAGCTGCTTTTCCTGTACTGCAAGTTTCAGAAACCACAGCCAGCTCCATCCCACTGCAAAGCATTGATCTGCCCCCAGAACAAGCTGCAGTCACATAGAGCAAGCATACACAACTGCCAGAACTCAGCCTCTTCAGTCAGAGCAGGAGATCTCTGTGGCTTGGGCTGATAAAACCTCACAAACACTTTTTTCAGCTTCAAGCTCTATAACTCTGGAATGTAACAGAAGGGTTAGACAACATCTGAGGGGAATGGTGTTCAAGCCCTCTGCTGAAGGCAGCTTCAATCACTTTCAGTTATGGTAGCATACACGTGAAAAGCGGTCATGAATGCCTGCATCTTTCCACACAGCTACAGAGGAACATGAGACATCACCTCAACAAGAAGGAGCACAGTGAAGTTTAATTCTGCAAGATATCAACTTCAGACTATACAACGTTTTCCAGAGGTTACTGAGGGAGACACTCATCAAGATAATGTGCACAGCACTGCCTAAATCAAAACCAACGGTAGCGTTTGAAGAAAGTAGATGATATCTACTCTTTTCTAGAACAGAAATTTGATATTAGGAATATAGTACCAGAAACATAAAGCTAGCTCAAACTGAGAGCAGGTAAGGACTTCTTAGATGTATCAAATGTGAATAATAGGCCTTGACAAAAGGAAAGGACACTCGAGCCTGCAAGCAGGCTTTACTTGGGAGGCCTTTGAAGTCTGCTCTCTTACAATAGAATCATTAAGGTTGGAAAAGACCTCTAAGATCATCTAGTCTCTTACACCAAAACAGGACACTATCAGGACAGTAATTTTGATCTACTCCTCATTCTAAGATGACCCCTTCTGCTGTAGGAACCAGAAATACATTAACCACTTGTTTTTAATTACATGAGAATTTAACTCAATGCTACACTAACTTTAGCTAAAGAGAAGCAGACTGGAAAGAGTATTCAAGAGAGAATGCTTAGACTAACAGCTGTCATATATGACTGTTGTTTGACAGGAACAGCAAAAATTAACCATGTCAGACATCCCACTGAACAGCAGCAAACAGGGTAGTAGCTTCCTGCTAGCAGTACTACAGAACAGAGGTTGCAGTAATGAGATTTCACATAAATGTAAAATACAGCATTTTCCTTCTTTAACTAGGCTTTATTGTATTTAGGTTTAATAAGTGTATCAAAATCTGATTTCATCAAGTAGCAAAATCAGATGTATGCTATACTAGTATTTATATATGTGAGTGATGACTTCGCAGTATGTAAACACAAACCTCATGGGGAATAAAATCAGTTTCAAATTCCCTTTCTACTCAACAAGAGCAACCAAAATCATGCTGAAATTTGCTACTTTAAAACTTCACTGTGGGGGAAAAGAAAAAAATCATTAAAACTGAAAAAATCATTTTAATGAACAGTTATATTCAAAGTCCAAGGACCTTTCTGGATGGCAGTATAAGAAGCAGTGCCAATTGCACGTTCACAAAATTGTCTTACTTGACAGAAGTTTAAAGTTACTATCTGGAAAAGAAGCAGCAACAACATAATCCAAAACTTGTCAGTAAATAAGTAAATATGTCCTCAGACAGCAATGCAGTTTACAAATAAAATCCCACCTCTAAAACCAAAAACTTAAGGTTGAATCCCGTAAGTACAGTCTGTCAATTGTTCTACGTGTGTGTTCTACAAAGACAGAAAGTTCTTGGATGCAAATGGAGAGCTGTGCCAGCAAGCTCATAGGGCCCTGGCCAGCTGAACAGCCCTACCTTTTGGCAGCAGCACATCCTCCTCTGAGAAGCTAATAATTCTGGAGCACTCTCATCACCCAAGTCTCTCATCTTGGGCAGAGCAGATGCCCAAGATAGTTCCTGAGCTGGAAGCGTAACTGCATCAGACTAACACTGAAGACTGTCACTTTCACATTGGATTCTGGATTCCAAAAGCATGCCATGAGGCACAATGCAGCGCTGCGCCACCTTACACAGCTATATCAGGCATCATGTCAGCATACGTTTGTTTTTAGTACACAGAAGATCTCCCTAAATGCTTTTAGATGTTGGCATCCAAGCATTAGTTTGAAGTACTTTTCTAGCTAAGCCTTCACATCCTTATATAAGTCTCTCCTTTCTCACAGGTAATCTGTTTCATGAGCTCTGACACTGCAAGTTAGCACCCAGTCTTGTGAAGTTTCCTTGGCAGCAGAGTCCATCACATATTTACTAAGTATCTTCACTACGCAGCAATTTGTGAACTTGCCTGCATTTTCATCTCATTAGTGAGGTGTTTAATGTCACAGAACCTTCTAAAGATGATTGTTTGACAGCAAAATGTGTTCTGTCAACCAAATACACGCTCTTGTCCTGTGTTAACACAAGTCAAGAGAAGTACATCAAAACACTCGCAGTATCATAGGGGATAGGTTTTGAATTTATATAGATATCTTTAAGATCTTTAAAAATTAATAACAAAGCTTTAGTAAACCTCTTAAGAGTCCAATCTTCCTTCAGGTTATTTGCTGCTCTCCTTCCACAGGCCAATGAGGATTTTATAAAGCACCATTCAGTCTGAAGGAAGTGAAGTGTTTATCTGGCCATGGCACTGAAGTTTATGGAGTCAGGAGATGTAAAAAACACTATTACTAAGAACAAGCACTAGAAACTATTTATACTGAAGAAGTTAAATCCACTGAATGTTAATGTCATCGGTCTGAAATTTTTAGACATTTTAGAATTAAGCTTCCAGAAGTCAGTTCAAAAAAGGAACAACGTTAAGTTCCATCACTGCAATATGGTGCTGTTGTAGCAGCACTGTGATTAAAACATCTCAGTCAACTCTTGTACAATTCAGCCCACCCTCATTACGGCAAGATTTAAAATGAGACAGTAAAAGAGCTGTGTAGGTTACTCAACTGACAAGTGGCTATTCAGAAGACAAAGTGAAAGCAGAGTACTAAGCCCACATATTTCCTTTATAGCCATAGCTCTTTTACTTAGAAAAATTTTAAAAGCTCGAGTGTGCATTGTAACTGCAGCAGGGTAAGTACTTCCCATTCATTTAGTACTGTTCTATTCAGCATGTGAATAAGGATACTAAGCAGTGAGAAACAGTACTAAAATAAAAATGAATAAAACACTTTCTTTGGAAAGTAAAGCTAATTTTTTAAGTCATAAAATAAACACTGATGAGCTACACCATATCTGTCTGCTTTGAAGAATGATACTACTGCATCATCCAAAAAGACAGGTAGCAACAAAGAACTACTGAAGAGCACCAATGTAAAACTGCACTGTTGTTCTGAAAGCTCTTGGGCTTTTAACACAGAAATGTTAAAACCTCCCTCCAGCTTGAGTATGTAATTAAGTGCAAACCTCATTCCATCTCTGATTGATCATTTCAAAGCATTTTCAAACTTCCCCTACCATGTTCACAGATGACAAAGGCTGGCAATTTGTTATGCTCAAAACTGAGATTCTTCTACATCGCTATGCATTCTGTCAATGTGCTGCCCAATGAAACATCTATTTAGTAGCCCTGGGTGTATATCACTATCTCTTGAGCTCTGCAGTTGTTACTAAAAAGTTAATTCACAGTCACTGATACTGAAGACTTAGTTTCACTCTACCAACTACAGCGATTAACTTAAGTGGTAGGCAATTCATTCTCTTGAAATTGGTATTTCAGGTTAACAGCAACTTTACCTGCATAATGTACAGGGATTTCTATCTTTGGCCCTATGACGTAGTGGCCCTCCTCCAGACTGTGAGCTGTAATTGTTGTCCACTGCCGACACGAATGAATCAGGAGGTAATCACTCTCTCGAAGGCCTTCTACAGTTTCTCCTGAAAAACAGACATATGATTTTAAAATTACACTTATTGGCTATAGAATTAGGAAGACTTCACAATAAGCATTGTGTTCTTATTACTAGTTATTTTTCAGAAATCCAGTTTAAGTTAAGAAATCCAGTTAACTAAGTTGCAATTCTAAACAGTATTCATTTTGCAAGGTAAGCATTTTATCTTAACGAACACAAACATAAACCAACCCAGTGCCTGAATACAAAGCACCAGAGATGTGCTGTTGATCACTCAGCAGTGGCTCTCTGATGCTTTTTCAGATTTCTGCTTAAACAGATTTTTCATATCCCTGTTTATGTCTGCCTATCTCACTTAATACATATACTTGAAAGCTCTTAATCTTTAAATAAAGGAAATCCATAAAAATCAGTTATTAGACTTTGGAGGTATCGGGAGAAAAGCACATTTCCATACATTAAAGGACCAGCACTTCACTAATCTAAAGCCACCTAAAGGCAAATTCTGCTTCTCACTATTAAGTACCTGGGTACTTCACCTGCAGACAGATTTCAGCTCTTTTTATCCCTTTGCAAGCTAATAGGTACATAGCTATTCCTGTACAAGTAAACTTAATCCTATTGCTTGAAAGGAAAAAAAAATGTTAACACACCACAATTATCACTGAGAGCAAGTTGCTCTTACATTCATACAGTCCTGTTTGTACACACAGAGAAAACAGCCTTCCTCAAGGTGTCTTGAAAGCAGCCAAATGAACTTTCAGCAACACCTAGCAGACACCAAACACAAATCAGGGTCACAGGAACAGGTTGCCCAGGGAGGTTGTGGAGTCTCCCCTGAAGATATTTAAAACCCACCTGTACACTTTCCTATGTCATCTACAGCAAGGAACCTGCATTAGCAAGGAGTTAGGCTTCATGATCTCCAGAGGTCCCTTCTAACCCCCTGTGATGAGCCTAAGAGATGGACCTCAGGTGGTCTATTGCCCCATGAGCTGTTAAATTCCATTAAAAAAAAAGTATTTTGACAGCAAGTAGGCACACTTTCAAATAGGCACAGCATTTCAAGATCTGGTTTCCAAGTCCCAAGGCATACCAGCCAGGGAGGCAGTCTGCTGAGCACCAGCTCCTGCTCACTGACTTCGAGCATCTTCTGTTCTCTGCTCAAAAGGCAACTCACAATAGGCACAAAAATTCTCTTCAGCTTGCTCCAGCAAACAGTTATAATTCTGGAGGGAAACACGATGACAATATATGGTCTATTTGAAACTCAAGTTTCAGTTCAGAGTCTTAAACACATGCTTTCCATAGCCCATGGCAACAAGCAATTATTCCATCCCACAGCAAAATAAAAAACAATGACACCTAAGGGAAGAACTAGTATTTTACTGGTTTCATTGACAATAGTAAACAGATTTTGAAGAAAAGCCAAAGCACCTCTGATATGCTTTACTGTGCCTTACAATTTGTAGTTATAATTTCAGACCATTACCTAAAGAAAGCCCGAATTCTACACCCAGGATTTGCAGGGAAATAATTACAGTATAGGACGTTCTTGAGGAGTCTGAGAAAGATGTTTTCAGTAAAAATAAATAAATAACATATACACACATTACAAAAAGGAGCTTCCAGTCATGGCTCACAAGCCACGATCTGTTTAAGAGGCTACTCCTAAAACTGGGTGGGACAGGTGAGTGTAAAAAGGTATTATGAAGACAGGCCCAACAGTGACTACCTAATTAACTCTGCAGCTGGAAGTAGTAATTTTTAAGCAGAATCTTGGAAACCACAACTCTTGTTACAACAACCATTCCCTTGAAGAGGTTAAATTGGAAACAAATTCCATATTTCTCTCTGGAAGCTGGAGCAGAGCAGAAGGATGGATGTACACAACAGACAGGCCTGGAACCTGCATGCCATTTGCTTCTGTAGCCTAAGGTGAGTAGAGTTCCTAGGATTGCTTTAGACGAAGCTGCTCCTTGTAGGGATTAATGGATTAGCAAAAAACCTGGCTAACAACAGTCTCCACACTATGGGGAAATACAAGGAAGCATCAAATATGAATGAGAACAGCATGTGGTGATACATGTTCTTCTTTCTAATTCCTTCCACTGACTTGTCCAGTGCCTTTAGACCAGCTTCCTCTCTTCAGACTGGGGACACGTTCAAACCAGGCTACGCTTATCAGGATCTGGCCCAAGCACACCCAGATGTAGCCCCTCATACTTTTCCCAGCAACCCATACCTTGCAACACAGCCACACGCATCCAATCTGATTTTCCCCCATCTTAGTAACACAGGTTATGCAAGTCTTTCATTAATCACATTTTAGCTACGTGGGAGAGAAGTCAGCAGCCTTCACATCCACAAACTATGCATCTTGTCTCTCACCTATTCAACATACTCCTACATACTGCTTACATAAAATCAGACTCCATGAGAAAACAGAATACAGGTCACTCATCTTTACTAACAATTTTGTCTCTTGTGATCAAATATGGATTAGCTGCATCTCGCCCTCTCATCCCCACCCCAAATGCCTGCAATGTAATTATACCACTACGATGAATCTACAGGTAAATACTTGAGTTCATTCTTTCCCCCAAATGAAAGTCAGAAGCAAGGAATTATCACACATTTCCTCACACCTCCTTAAGTTCACTACATCTTTCCAAAGCATGAGTCAACTTCATTCATAATAATGCCCAAGACTAAGAAACCCATGCTTCGCTAACAGCACATAAATCCTAATAAAGCACTGACACCCCTCTTTACCTTACAATAAAAGCCTCACACCTCTGAACTGAGAAGCTGGTGTATTCCTAAGCAAGCTGTCATCCTGTGAGCACTGTGACCACTGTGGCTATTTCACCACCCACCACTGAAGCAGTGCTTTAACAGCTACTCATGTATTCTTTCCCAATCAGATATCATCATTTTTTAGTTGCACGATTGGCAGAACTTCATATCCATGCAACTCTTAAGAACTACAAACAAAAGCCCGCTGTTGTCCAAAAGCAACTGCAGAGGAAATGCTGACAACGAAAGGAAAATTCTTCAAATGTTGGTAGTTAAAAAACAAGAAAAAGATAGTTGCCTAATCAAGATTCTTATGCTTATTAAATGCCACCTACATTAAATGCTGATACTCCTTTCACAATTCTTTCTAGTTCTAGAACTGTGTAATCCAATCTTGGCCCAGTCACTGTACACGCTCCAATTTCAGATGAACAGTTAAAAACTACAGCAAGGCCAGGAGCAGGATATAAGTTCAGAGATGAGTTTCTGTTCTCACTTGCCGTGTTCCAGAACCAGATGAGAAAACAGTGGCTGGCTATGTGCCAGGACTGAGTTTATCCATGGCAAAGCCATGGCACACAGGCACACTTCTCTCGAAGCAAGCACTGACATCCCCACAAGCTGTCACTACCACTTCCTGAGAATGTGTACTTGCAGTTCATTTGGCATTTCTCAATTCTCAAACATGTAAGGTAAAGGCCCCATTATAACTGTAGTCTTTTCAGTTCTGAAGGACTGAGCTCTCCCATCTCCTATTCACCTCTGGGATCAACAATTAAAGGTTGGCCCATTCATTCCCATACAAGAGAATTCAAGATAGTTCCACATATTCTCATTTGCCAAAGATAGATGTGACTTTTCAACACCAACCACTAAAGAAAAATAATGAAACAAATGGAAAAAAACAAACAAGACAAATTTTCAGGATTCTCATTCTAGTTTTGAGAAGCTGATGTCCAAGTTACTGCAAAACATGCAGACCAACATGACTCATTCACTCACAGAAACTACACTGCTAAAAATAAGCAGCCATCTACAGGAATATAAACATTTTAAAATGCCACACACTTTGTCATCCTGGTTAAGAGTTTGTATCACTCCCTTAAAGCATAAGCTTTGTGTCTAGGGACATAAGAATAGAAAGAGGAAGTCCACACAAGGTTCCAGCAATGTAACAGATAGCATTTGCACATGCTAGATGAACTGGATACCATCTCCTCCTGCCAGGAAGATGGTTAGGGAGACATTCATCTTATTCCATTCATCACCGAAGACTGTAAAGAGAACTAAATGCTGTCCCTTGCACATTAGATCAAGCAAGCAGGATTTGTTCTTCCTGGAACAAAAAGAAAATACAGAAAATAACTAAACTCATGACAAAAGTAAGACCACTGCTGTGAAATAGCTGGTGAAGAAGATGCCTGCTGAACCCCAGAGACAATTCATCAAGACTTCGTACCATGTGTTTTCATCAAGTCTGAACTCTGTCTGCAGTCAGGTAACAGCTGCTGTACAATTAAGTGCATCACCCAGATTTCCTTGATGAGTTAATTAGGTGGTGGGCTTTAATTATCCCACCTAATGTTCTAAGTCACATAACAAATCATAACAGAGGAAAACCTCAGCAACATGAGAAATCCTTTCAGCGGACGCTCAGCCAGGTAATTACAAAAGCCCTACACAAATGAGTAACTCCAACTTTCCTCCCACTCAAGCTTGTACTAATGCTTGCTAAGACTGAAGGGTTAATTCGAGGAGCAGCAGAGGCAGCTGCCCAGGCAGGTGAGCTCTGTGGAAGGAGCAGGAAGACCTGGCAGCACGTGGCTGGTGTTAAAAGGGAAGACAAGGGAAGACCAGCAGACAAGGTTTGCTTCGCAATGACCAGAAGCTAACAGAAAGCAGAGCAATGAGAAAAACTGGAGAAGAGAGAAGTGAGGCTCTTATTTATTCAACACAATATCACACCACTGAGGAGCCTTCCTTACTTACGTGGTATCTGCTGCACAGATCAAGCAACAGGGACTCTTTTCCTGGCTGAGGGCCAAACAAGCCATGCATTAAGATACACCTCAACATCATCCTACAGTAAGCACACCTCCAGCCAGGATGAAATGAAATTATAATCCATTCTTAATAAAGAAAGACACTATAACATATTAAGGCCTTCATGGCTCTGTGCAGGGAGACATTTCAGGTCAGAGGTCACACTGCTAACACAAATAAATG